ATGTGTATTCTGGTGTTGTGGGGTGGAACACTCTGTAGACATCTACTAAGTCTATTTGTTCACAGGCTTGGTTTAATTTGAATAGTTTTTGTTGATCTTTTGTCTAGTTTGTCTATCCACTCGTGAGAGTGGGTAGTAAGATCCCCCAGTACAACTGTGTTGGTGCTTATTTGGCTTTTCATGTCTGTTCATATTTGTTTTATGTAGTTGGGTGCAATTGTATTTGGTTCATAAATATTTATGATTGCTAACTCTTCTTGGAGTTTTCCCTTAACGAGTAGGTAGGAACTTTCTTTATCTCTTTTGATGAATTTTGGCTTAAAGTTTGCATTGTCTGCAAGTAGAATACCTAGCCCTGGTTTTTTCTGGGTTCCTATGGCATAGAGAATTTTTCCCATTCTTTAAATTTAGTTATGAATTTCTTTGCGGGTTACATGTGTTTCCAGAATACAGCATATTGCTGGATTTTGCTTCTTGATCCATTCTGCCAGTGTTTCTTTTGACTGGTGAGTGGAGGCCATTTACTTTGATGAGTATAACTGATACATATTAGCTTTTCTTTTCCATATTGTTTCCCTGTTGTTTATTCCTTGTCTTTCTGCTCTGTTTAATTGCTTGCCCTGCCTTGTGGCTTCTTTCTATTAGTGTTTCTGTTTTTGTGGTCTTTGTTATCTCTTTCCAATATGTGTTTCACTGCTTTCTATAGAGCTGGTTTGCTGGTCATGAATTTCCTTGGGTGTTCTTTGTCGTGAAGTATCTTATTTGCCCATCAATTTTGAAAGAGTTTTGCTGGGTACATCAACCTGGATTGAAGATGATTTTACTTTAGGGCTTGAAATACTTCACTCCGAGCTCTTCTTGGTTTGAGTATTTGTGTTGAGAAGTTGGCTGTTATTCTGATGAGCTTTCATTTATAGGTGATTTTTTTTTTATTTTGTGCTTTTACTATTTATTCTTATGCTGAATTTCTGAAATTTTGTATGTCTTGGTGTGGATTTATTTTGGTCATGGCTATTTAGAGTTCTATATACTTCATTTATTTGTATGTCAAATTCTTTATCTATGTTTGGGAAGTTTTCTGCCATTATTTCTGGAAAGAGGTTTTTAATGGTTTTTTCACTGTCTCGAGCTTTCCCACTGATTCCAATCAGTCTCATGTTATTTTTCTTTGCTTCTTCCTGTAGCTGTTGGATTGGCTTCTTGTGATCTCTTATGACTTTTAAGGTACCTTTTGTTTCTTGGTCACTAGCTGCGTGCCTATCTTCTAGATCTGGTATTCTATCCTCACCTTCATTCTTTGTTTTTCAGTGGAGTTTCTAATCTCCTGCATTTCTGTTTGGATCTATTTCACTGATTCCATTCATGGTCTATGTTTGGCATTCTTGGTTTCCATTGTTTTCCTGAGTTCCTCTTTTTGTTTATCTGTGTCTGCTTTAATGTCTTTTATTTTTACAGTGATATTTTTTGCACCTTGGAGATTATGTTTTCTGTGGCCTCTTCCACTTGCTTTTTCACATCTGCTGCTATCATTTCAGAAAATTTCATTTGTTAGCTTCCCATTTCCTCTATCTATCTGTGTTCTGGACTTTTTCTGGGTGGGCTAGGCATTTGAGATTGCATTTTGCTTCTTTGTCTTGTCATTTTCTATTTTATTTTGTTTTCTGTGTTGTTGCTTTTAGTTCTCTTATATTAAATAGCCTTAATCACTGATGTTGAGGCTTTCTTAGGAGGTGTCTGTTCCTCTAGATGTCTCCTCTTCCTGGCACCACTGTCCTGGGGCTATGGAGAAAGGGAGGAGTGTAAGTTTACATGCCTCTCTTTGGCACTGCCATCCCAGGGCAATAGAAAAAGGAAGGAGCACAAATTTACACTTCTCTCAATGGCACCACCATTCCAGGACTATGGAGGAAGTGCTTACTATGGACTAACACTCCTCTCAATGGTACCACCATCTTGAGGACAACAGAGGAGGTACAGGGCATGGGCTTACACTCTTGCCTCTTGCAGTGACATTCCAGGGAGATTGAGAGAAGTGCAGGACATGGGTATGCACTCTTCCCACCAGTATGACCATGCTAGGGACAATGGAAGAGGCACAGGGTGTGAGCTTACACTTTTCCTGCTAACACTGCCATCGCTCTTCTCACCAGAACCACCATCCTCTCATTCACACTCTTCAATAATGCTCTTTTTTCAGTGATTGAAGTTTCTTTATTTTCTGCCCTCTTTCACTCATACAAACTGCATTTCTTTTATTCCTGAATAAACTAATTCATTAATAAAGACAATTATTCAATAATGTGTAATACTACTCTGCTTTCTCTCTTCCAAATGAGAAACTCTTTTTAAAAATTTGCTGCCAACAACTCCTGCACTACTATTGTTACTATTTTATGGTCCTGGAGTCATCATACTGTCTATAAGGACAAAAGAATAAGTGATTTTGCCTTTACTGACTGCAGAATCTCCATCACAGCTGGTCAAGTCCATGAATATGAAAGCTCTCACAGGCTATATGAAATAGGCATGATAGTTTTAACATAAAATTAATGTACAAAAATAGGCAAGTATTTTTCCTTTAAGGTATATATATTTTTTCTTCTACTTACTGAGCTTATTATTTATGTGTGTTTATAAACAAACGGATTACAATCATAACTGAACTTCTGTTCAACATTTGTGTGTATTTTATGCCTGTATTTCAATTTGGGAGGAAGGTTGTATTATTTCTTTTTCTTCTGGCCAATGAGCAAGGAGAGCATCTGCTTCCTAAAAGGATTGTTATCTCCAGTTGCAAATCAGAGGATCCCATCACCTTTGATGAGAGCCTCTGGGAGGCTCTGCCTCTTTCATTCTTTGACTATAAGTGAAGACAGGATCCTTAGGCAGGAGTCAAGGACTACAGAGGCTTCAAATGGGAGTCTATGAAAGAATTTTTTGTGGGCTTCAAATGAGTATTGGATATAAACTGTTGAGCAAAGGTGGAAGAATTAAGGCATGGCACAGTTGAAGATGAATAAATTTCTTTTGCATTATGAGCTGACCATCGACCCTTTGGGTCCAGTGCAGAAAGGTGTGATTGCATATAGTTTAAATGCCTCTCATTCATTGAAGCAGTGAATGCTTGTTTCCCAGAGTGACAACATTAATTGGTGGTAGAGCCTTTGAGACAAGGAACCTTGATCCAGAAACCCTCTCTCTAAAGGGGTTAAAGTAGATTACCAACTGGCTTGCTACCTGCCAAAGACTGAAAATAGACCCAAGCCTATCACCATGCACCAAACTCAGGTCAAAATTGTTCACAAACCTCAATATTAAACCAGAAACACTAAAGCTACTGGAAGAAAAGATAGGTAAAAACCTTGAAGACACAGGGGTAGGCAGAGAGTTCATGAACAAAAACCAATTTGCACGTGAAACACTTGAAAGAATCAACAACTGGGATCTCATTCTACTGAAAAGTTTCTGCACATCTAAAGAAATCACCAGCAAAGTAAAAAGAAAACCCACAAACTTGGAAAAAATTTTAGCTGATTGTCCCTCAGACAAAAGCCTTCTATCTAGAACATATAAAGAATAAAAAACTTCAGCCCCTCCAAATTCAAAGACCCAATCCAAAAATGGGCAGCGGAGATGAATACACACTTCTCAGACAAGGAGATACAAATGGCAAATAAATATATGACAAAATGTTCAACATCATTAGTCATTCGAGAAATGCAAATTAAAACAACGCTGAGATTCCACCTTACCCCAGTAAGAATGGCTAGCATTAAGAAATCAGCCAATAACAAATGCTGGCGAGGCTGTGGAGAAATAGGAACCCTTCTCCACTGCTGGTGGGAATGCAGACTGGTGAAACCACTGTGGAAATCAGTGTGGAGATTCCTCAGAAAACTAGGTCTAGAGGTCCCATTCAACCCAGCTATGCCCCTGCTGGGTATTTTCCCAGAAGATCTAAAAACATCATATCACAGTGATATATGTGCACCTATGTTCATAGCAGCACAATTTGTAATTGCTAAAATGTGGAAGCAACCCAAATGTCCATCCACTGAGGATTGGATAAGAAAATTGTGGTACTTTTATGTAATGGAATATTACTCATCTGTAAAGAAAGATAAACTCGAGGCTTTTATGGGCAAATGGTCACAACTAGAGACCATACTCATAAGCGAAATAAATCAGACATACATGTGCAAGCACTGCATTGTTTCTCTAGTGTAAAGCCTGAAAGAATTAATTTAAACTAGGAGATATGACAGACATAGGGAATTGATAGGAAAACACTCATAGGTAAAGGATAACTGGAATATGGGAAAAGAGAAGGGAAAGAAAGAGAAAGTTTGTATATATGTATATGCAGGATAGTTAACACAGGTGTTCTACTGTCCTGTATTTCCTTGCTGAAAGAAACTGTCAGTGAGGCATTGGTTGATTAGCTTTGTATGTCTATATGTGTTTTCCTGAGAAACTACATTGAAGATATCAATATGTAATACAATAAGCATTGTTAATTCCCTACCACTCTGTTTGTATCTCTGTAATGTCTGTACTGATCCTTTGCTATTTTGTAAAATGTTGTCGATCTGTTAGTATTTTCCTCCTTTTATTTCTAAAATAAAAAAGAAAAGTAGATTACCACAGAAGGTGCCAGTAAAAGACCTGGTGCTATTCAAACTGTTTCTGGCTTAGTGCATTGAAATGTAAATGCTCCTCCCAGAGGAATCCCCCTGCCAATGTAATCTATGTGATTGCTCACCCCACATACACACAAAAGATACATATGGAAAGTTAAGATTAAGTTAATTAACTTTACCATTTCACCATGCATATAAATGGTACATTATACACTGAAAATATGTGCAACTGGTATAGGCCAAGTGTTATGGGTCAGGTTAGTAAAGCTGTGAAAGTCTTGGGTGGGAGTGAAGATTATAAAGTCAAAACATACTTTCACAGTTTTTAATCTATCATGTCTCCTGCTTCTCTCCATGCAGTGCCTTGGGGATCATGGTTTGAGCACGTTCGTGGCTGGATGTCCCTGAGAGGAAGGGAAAATTTCCTTGTTTTGTCTTATGAAGAGCTGCAAAAGGTAAAGGGCATGCTTACAGTCATCACATGCCATCTCACTGTCACCTGCACTCTCTCCTATGTTCCAACCCCCAGCATTGCCATTTGCCCTCTCTTGTCAAATTTTAGTCCCAGGAAGAGTCACTAAAAGTGAGATGAAGTCCCTGGTTAACTGCCAATAAATTTTTGCCCTTTCATCATTTAAAATTATACCATTTTAATGGGATTTTATATTTTCTCTGCACCAAGGAAGACTGTGATGGCTTTTGGTCATGCTGGTGTTTGTAAACTTTTCTGTGGGTAGGACATGTGCTGCTTCTGGTAGAGATGAGAAGGCATTTTTTGAAGCTGGTTCCCCCACAGAATCCCTTAGACTGGTAGGAGAGAGATGAACACAGAGAAACAGTCTGCATGAACACTCTGAGAGGTCAAGTGCTATAGAAATAGGAAACCCTGCTTAATGTGAGATCTGCAGAGTGCAGTTCTACATGAGGAACAATTTCTCATGTTTTGTATCCCATAAGATAACTGATTGCTAACAAATAATTTCACGTTATAGTATTAGTTAGTGTTTTGATTATTCTCAACATGAAGATAGTACAATGCACATGTCTGAGCTGATAGATTTATTTCACTGACCTCATGGTTACATATTATATATATACTATAATGCCACAACTGTAACTACATACATAGCTGAATTTACTATATATCAGTTTGCAATGTGAATACTGATTAAAACATCAATGTAAGTAGATATTTAGAAAATGTTAAACAACATACTAAATGTGTAAGTGTGACCATAGTATTGGAAAAGGAATTTCATGTCTTGGGGATAACTTATAGAAAATTAAAATATCCATGCACATGAAATTTAGTTTCACTTCAGAAAACACACACTCTTACAATTTTCCTCTGGCTATGTCATCAAAACTGTCTTTGTTTACAGCATGCCATCCATTTCTAACAAGAATTCTTTGCTGCCAACCTTAGTTCAGGTGAATGATCTGACACCTTACTGTTTTTCTACTTTGGAATCACACAATAACTTTATTTGTATTTACTGTCATGATTGTTTGTCTTCTTGTTTGATAGTAAATGGGGGTCATGGGATCAGTGTAAGAGTGAAAAAATTATGGTCTGACCCATAATGCTAGTATTCTGGGATGCTGGTGCAGAAGAAGCACACGTTTGAGCTGAGTCTGGACAACTTAACTGTCACTATTAAACAAAGTCTGGACAACATGGTCAGTACTAAAGACATAAAAAGCATGAAGATGTGTTTCACAGCAGAGGACTTACATTCAATGCCTAGTATTTGAAAAAAGAACAAAAGCCTACCAGCCTTAAGAAAAAGTCTAAAATTCAAATGAAATTCTTTCTAGATCTCTTCTTCCTTATTATTAGAATCCAGAGCATTTCTAATATTTGAAAGTTCCAGCCTTTTTCATTGAGTAGTCCAGAATTCAACGATCCTGGGAAATTCTTTATTTAACGCACATCCTGTGTCTCCATGGTCTCACCTCTTTGCCTTTTTCTCTGTATTCCTCACTTGGAATCCACTTTCAATCTGTTCTTTCTTCTCTGAATCATTCCTCTCTTCTTCCCTCTTCTCCTACATCTTGTAAAGCACCCTCCTTCTCATCTTCTACTCTCTGTTGTCCTTGTCTTTCATACATGTATTATAGTTTTTTTCTTCTTTAGGACATAAGAGGCAGTATACAGAAAATATGTCAATTTCTCGGGAAGAGTTTAGATTTGAAAAGCCTGGATTTAGTAGTCAAGTACAGCTCCTTCCAAAGCATGAAAGAAAACAAGATGTCCAATTATTCCCTGCTGCATCATACCTATCTGGATCCGAATACCTTAATTACCAGAAAAGGTAAGAGGAACTGTCCTGGTTTCAAATTTACCAGAGTACAAGTGTGGCATATTGGGGTTAGCAAGGAATGCTACAAATTAAGGGGTTTAAAGGCATCAACTGTAATAACTGTAACAGTGGGCTTCCCACATCTGAAATTATATATTTGAGTAGGGAACTTGCCAGAGGGAGATTTATTTTGGCTTTTGATTTTAGAGATTTCTTTCCAGGATGATTTTGCCCTATGTTTCTAAGGCCTGTGGTGAGGCAAAATCATGATGGCAGGAGAATGTTGTCACACGCGCAGAGTGTAAATTTTAGCTGGACTTTGTAAACTTGCATCAATAAAGAATTAGAGATTTAAGTTTAAAGGGAGAAACAAAATCACTTTATTGGAAAGAGGAGGGAAATAAGACAATAGATACTACCTTGTTGGAGTAAGGTAGCGAGCCTGGAGTCAGTACTTGAAGGTTGTTATTCTTAGAATTCTTTATTACACATCAAGAAAGGGACTCTCCCCTTGAGCATTGTTATAACTTGACTGGCTGCTTTTGGCACTGAGACCCCTGATTCAACTAGTTTCTTGTTCTATTGCCTATTTGGACCTTGTTGGATGAGCTTTCTTCGGTCTCTTTGTTTTGTCAAGGCGATCAGTGTGAGGGTATAGTAGAGCCTCATATTCGAGGCCACGTTGGCAAATATGGGATGCATGTGTCTGTTAGTGTATTAATATGGTGAGAAAATAATAAAATATGTATGTATAGGAGAGTGTGTCCTTGTCCAGGTGTATGTTTTTTATACTAAGTGAACTTTTAATATAGCCTGTGCCCCACTTTGGGTTCTTTGTGTTTGTGTGAAGTTGTGGGAAGAGGGAATTGTGGCCCTGGCACCAAAGTGAGCCACACTGCTTTCCCGTTCTCTCTGCTTGTTTTTCATAGCCACTCTGTCTAGCAGGGGATTAACTCTTTATTTGCCAGAAACCTCACTGAGGTCCTTACCTTTCCCTGCCTGTCCTCCAAGTTTCCCTACAGCATGATAGAGGAACAGAGCACAGCTGGTGGCTGCCAGAAAGTAGAGAGAGAGGAAGACATGGAAATGAAATGGATGGTGATGAGATACATTTCCAAGGCACACACCCATTTTCCAAGCCTTTCACTTAGGGTCTGCTTCCTATCTTTCCATCACTTTATAATAATTTTATCAATGTATACATCTTTCAATGGATCAATATACCAACAACGTTATTGGTGCAAATAATTCTATCAATTTCCAAAGCTCCACTTCAGAACCCCTTTGCAATATAGAAGAAGCCACAAACACATTATCCTTAAGAGACATTTGTCCAAACTGGAAGAGTTACTCCTAGTGAAAAGACTGTCTCATGTAACCTTTGGGGTAAGCTATTTATTGTACTGATGTGGGTTCTAGGACCCTGGAGAAAGTTGTTTCAGTCTGAAAGGAGATTTGAATTATGATGGACATGTGGGGGTCCCCCTTGGTGATTTCAAAGGATCTACTCTGATCAAAAGTTACAAGAAGACATAACATACATGAAATAGGAGTGAGGAGAGATTGTGCTATGAGACACTGGAAGGAGCCAATAATTAGAAATTTACTATGCTTCTGTACTTGGCATCAACTCTAACGAAAATGCAGCATGGAATTTTGCCTTTAAAAGGTCTCATCTTTCCAGAAACCTTCTAGCTCAAATATTTCTGGGATGGAGACACATGAAATAAATATATGAAATGGCTCAAAATGTTTTGAGCAAGTCAGTACTGCTGATTACTATGGTCCAGGAGATCAGAGCACTAAGACTTCTAAGTTAATTCACAAACTGAAACTAGAATGGAAATTGTCAAGCTGAGTTTTAGATTGCTAAGACCCTTGACCTATTTCTTCTCTCTGATTTGTATCATCTAGAATTGGAATATCTATGTATAATATATGTAACATACAGAGGGGAGGGAGAAACTGGCAGAGACCACCAGGCTTGTGCAAAGGCAACAGGGCATGGAACTGATTGTTCCCAGGTGCAGGCAGACAGAGAGTATGATAAGACCAACTCCCTGAAACAAAGAGAAGTGTGTCTCTTTTGTAGAGATGGAGAGAAGTGTGTCTCTTTTCTAGAGATGGAGAGATGGAGAGGAGATACATTTCCTTGGAAATGTATCTCATCACATTAGGCAGGAAGATCCCAATACACATCTATGGTCAAGTTCTCTGGCAGTCCTGTACCTCAGTGGGCGGAGTCCGTGAAGTGTCTGGTGTAAATTTTCAGGTGTCTCTACATATCCTAGGATCTGTAAAGTTCCTTGTCTTATCTTATCTCCTTCCCTGTGCTTGCCACGACAACTTAGGTACTAAGCTGAGTTCCCTGCTGAGAGGTAAGTTCCCTGAGACTAATGCTTCTTGAGGGCAAGCTGGTCAGGGGCAGGGGGAGTCAGGTCCAGTTGGAGCCATGCGCTATGTAGTTCACATGTGACTACTGTTTTCTCAAAGAGGTAACTTGTCTTGGTTACAGATTTTCAGTGGGAGAGAAAGTTTGCTTCATGATGATTATACTTCTAGTCACACCCATGTCTGATTTAGGCAAAATTCAGATTGACTTTGTAAATCAGTGTTCCTCTCTGAATGTGTTAACACTGTGGAGGTTTGAGGAAGAGATGGGAGAAGGACATGAATTAAAAGAGGGATAGGGAGTAAAGTTTCATAAGTTCAACAGGTAAGCCCAGATTTCATAAAAAAGGTTTACATATATCCTTAGAAGCCATGTGCACAGAGCATAACAGATGAAAATGGCCATCTATGATCCAAGATTAGAAACTCCAAGAAGAGAGCAATGCAGCAGACACCCTGACTCATCAGGAAACCTCCAGAGTGTGAGAAAACACCCTACTCTGTTAGAACACCTAATATGAAACATTGTCCATTTTTACTGTTCTCTTAAGGCATCAAAATTTTGGTAGAGATTATTTAATGTTATGTTTACACAAAAGGCTGGTAAGTCAGGTGTAAGGGAACAAGAATGTTGTTGAAAGTCAAAAGACAAATTAAGGCTTTGGAAGAGACAAAATAGGATGCAACAAGGTTTGTGGCATAATTCCATGACAATAGCCATAATCTCCTCTTGCCCAAGATGATCCTCCAGAAGATGGCCACCATGGACATTCAATCTCCTCCAGCTGCATACACATGTTTCATGCCATAGAATGTCAAGAGGAGTAATTACCCCGATAATGATTATTAGGGATGCTTTTCATGGTGCCAGTTATTTGGGACTTCTGCAGTGAGTCTCCAGTTTCCTGCCAGGAGTTATGGTGTATGTGTCAGGAAAGAAAGAGGAAGAGACAAAATAGAGGAGTGCAGCAGGGCTCTGGGATGATCCATGTCCTCTGGGGCAGAGTCCTAGTATTTTCTGTTAGCCAAAATTTTATTTAGCCCATGAGTCACAGGGTTATTTTGCTTTTCCTGGAGCAGCATAGAAGCAGTGGTTGAATGGGCAAATTTAACACCATAAAGGAAGGAAGTTAAAATGCATCCCCATACCTGGGCACTGGTCTTCCTGTATTGCCCTCAGCAGACAGTATTCTGCTCTGTGAGCCTCACTGAAGCCAGGAAGAGGGATTTCCATATGTAAAATCCAACCCAAAAGGCAAAGGCCAGTCAATTTATAGTTTGTGGTCCCTAACAAGTGATAATTACCAAGTATGGCATTATTAGCTTTGCTAAGCTGGTGGTCTGTAGTTTTTAATTGAATAATGAAGTGTCACTTTTATCCTTGCATATTTTGACAATTAGATCATGAAGTATTATTTTTCTCTGGAAAGTACAATAATAATACAGCTAATTATTTGAATAATGTATCATCTCATGCTGCCAATTAAACTTAAAACCACCCTACTTTAAGACTTGAGTATGCTCAGATAGAGAGACCTAGAAATGAATAGATGTCGTTAAATATTTAAAAAGGAAAGGAAGGAAAACTGGTAAGATTATACATTGCTTTACTCATCTTGGTCCTGTGATATTTATTTTTGAAAATAAATGCAGTTCCAAGGTTAACTTTAAAATTTACTGCATTAATTATAAAAAGGATTTTAATTAGTTCACATTTCATAATTTACTGAAAAGCTCTGTTAAATGTTGTCTTGTCCTAGGCGAGAGTTATTCTACTGACCTATTTCCAAAATATTGGGTGGTCCTTTTCTGTTCAAGGTACAAGAATTATATGCTTAATTGTTCACGGATTCCCTGCACCAACTGCACTAGGGACAAGACCAGCTATAGAAATGCTCCAACTAGGGAAGATATACATATTTTTAAGATAAAAGCAGTAATACTGGTGTTCATCAGCTGTACATCACTATGACAAAATACATGAGATAAAAATAACATTATGTAGTAAATATGTACAAAAGCGTTAGGGAATAGAAAGATGGATGGAGAGGGAATGGAGGGAAGGGGAAAGTGATGAAAGAAGGAGCCTCAGCCTCTTATGTAGATGTGCCAATTTCCCACAAGGAATATAAACACATATGTACTAAACAACTAAACTAAAGTTTAAAGAATCTTAAATAGAAGTAAGCTGTAGTTAGACCTGTGGACTTGATCAACTTAATTGTGTGAGAAGAGAGAGAAAGAGAAGGAACAAGAAAGGGCAAAGTTGAAATATCTCCTTCATGAGAATCACCCTGGGGTCTACATTACTTCTGCAAGGCTTCTTGTCCTACAGTTTCCACCATTCGCAAAAGTACTGATGCTGATAACCGAGCTTCCACAGGCATGTTTTGGGGCCACTTCCAAAACATCACAGTGTTTTTTTGACCAAATTATGATTATTCCCACCTCTCCCTCTTTTTCATTCTGGAGGATACCACCCAGCACTGGGGAGGCATGCTACAACTATGTGTTTTCATGTTGGTTGTGATCAGAGATGGCGTAATTAAACATATCAGCATATTAATTTAAAGTGCCATGTTAAAAACATGAGTTCCTGACACTTGATTAATATCACTATA